CTAAATAAAGAAAGATGATAAACCAATTTGTCGTCAAGTATTACTAGAAATTCTTTATATGAGTAAGTCTACTAGCTATCGCCAGGGACTCCGTTCACACGGTGTTAGAAAAAAACTTAATGAGTAAGCTATGCGTTCGTTCGGACAACGTTGTTCTGTGCAAAATTTGGTGACACATTCAAACAAACATCTATCCATCCATCTAAACTTTCGCATTTATAATATTAGTAAGATGGATCATACGATTATTTTCAGATCTAAATCTAGTTAAGTACGAATTACTAATAAAATGATGAAATATGAATAAAATTTTTCGATCTTACCGATAGAAAAAGTTAAGTTTATGTTTAAGTTGATTATCGATAAAACACGAATAAAATGACATTTTCTAAAAATTATTCCTAGTTAATTCGAGTTATCGCCCCCGAAACCCCCTGTGTTCTAAATTTTATGAAAATCTTTGGAGCCGATTCCGAGATTCCAATTATATATATACAAGAATTGCTCATTTAAAGATATAAGATAAACTTATTGTTAAATGTACAATATGTGGCAATATAGATTATGTTTTTATAATATATGGAAATACTGATTAAAACATATAAAAGACAAATAAATAGATGAAATAATTACACCTTTAAGAAGTGTCCACACCATCAAATAGAATTGTCCTGTTAATTCCCTTTAAGAAGGATACGTCGGATTATAAACTTACTATTATCCATTGTCAGGAGACAGGCGTGAAATACATCCGAATTCTTTACGACAGTACGCCTGTTGACGATAGGATTAGAGACTCGAAGCGGGTTTGTAATGACTAAATGGAAATTGGTAGGGGAAACTACGTAAGCTAGATAATTAAACTTATAATTTATTGGATGTCGTCCGAGAATACACCGACGTGGAATTTAATTTAGTTATTCTAGATTGTTCTCTATCTCTGTTCACTATTTCATACAGATACGTTCAGCTGTTGTAGAGATACGCGGTAAAAAGGCAGACTACGTTTTCCTTGCCACTTTATTCATAATCGTGTCGTCTTTCACGCAAACCCCATCTTTTCCTTTACTATATTTAAAAGCACTTAAAGCCGATCCCTTGTGCGGACCCAAAGCCGCTCTGACCTTATCCGTTATGCCAGCTTCGAACCTGACATGAGTGTTGGTTTGTTGTGCGTACGTATTTCCCTGACACTCGTCTTTCTTTGATCGGTACGGGGCCTTTTCAAGATCAACGAACATATATGCCTTTTTACAGCAATATGGATAAGATATAATGGCTTGGAATTTCCTTCAAATAACAAGCATTTTGCGATTATCCTTTGAAGCGCGGGACTCATCGAACATTATCCATAATCTATTATATCTGGTCACTAAATCTTACTCTAAGGGTGACTATACACTAGAATAATTGTAATTATATTATAGAAAAATATTTAGTATTTTTATTTTGGATTAAAAAATGATACAGTGACAAATTTTTACCCTGGAAGTCTTTACTTAAAAATAAATCATAATCCAATTGCATCGCTTTTCAGGAATAATACTCATATTTTAAGTAAAAGAAACGCATGTACCACACGATAGATAATATCTTGCTAATGTTTGACGATCGTGTGGCTCAAAAATACTGTATAAGTCAAAAATAACTTAACTTACAAATTAGTTATTTCACAATTTGCCTATGCCTTAAATTATTTGGTATTTTAATATCTAAAAGAAAATAATTGTTTACGTTAAAATATACAATCAAAGTAGTAGATACGCAACCTTAATGTAGAAAAAGCCTCAGGTAGCCAGTCTAAGCTAACAATATGCAATTTAGTTTGTGATCTTGACGTCCGCTGATAACTTCCCTCAGGCCAAGGCCTTTGATGTTTATCGTGAACAGTTGAAAATATCGACTAAAGCTTTAAACAGTCTCGATAGCCAATGTTATCCAGATTACTTTGAGTTGTAAGCAGTGAAGACATTCTTCACTAAAGTACAAAACAAAAAGAGTCACCATGTATGTATTCTGCATTAATTTAAACTGTGGTTGGCTGACAAGTTACCGAAGCCATTGGATCGCAAACTGTGGAAGGCATTGGGGAAGGTCTATATCCAGCATCGGGTAGACAGAGGCTGATGATGATGATTAATGTTAATCGAAGAAAGTTGAAAACGTCATGGAATGAAACCGTATAGCAGTCGGTGCCATCATGATTGTTTTGTTTCATATGATAGGAGTCTTTTGGAAGTTATAGAACGTATTTATTAAAACTAGTAAATCTACTAGTTGTAGAAAAAAGATGTCTCTCAAACAATGCAATTCAAGCATCCTATGGCTCGTTATCTCGCGCCAACAAGCCAGTTTCCCACATAAAGCACCATTATGCGGCATTACGTTCTTGCACCGATGACTCCACCCACGGCCACATTTGTTATTGTGCCGGTAATTTAGATTATCTGTACACAATTCCCTTATGCGTTACTGGCCGCTAGATGCGCTGTGATTAATTTGACAGTAAGAACAAGATGGCGCGCGTCCGCCATTTTGCGTAACGCATTTTTTAAGCAATTGTCCCGAAGTATTTTTTATTTATAAAATATAATTAACAAAATGAATTCAATTAAATATAATATTCTATTTTTCTCCTTAGTTTTATCGGTGAGATGTGACGCTTACAATGACTACTCTATCAAAATATATTAATGTTAAATAATTATATATATTAATAATAAATTACTCAGTGTAAATGTAGGAACAGATTAAAGGAACAAGAATATTTAAAAATTAAGTAAAGACATGAATTATACTCTCATTAATATTTAAGCGAAGACATCTTGTGTGGCCTTACACCAAATCTGGCATGATCCGAAACGCGACGGGTAACAGTGATTTTTTACAAAATATTTAATGGACAAGATTCATCAACAAGAGCGTCGGTGGCTCAGGGGTCAAGCACTTGACTTGCAATATGATCACTCATTAACAAAAGAGTAAAACAATTTCGACTAGCTTTGCCATTTCTTATAACAAAAAAATATTGTCTTTAAAATTTCCAGTATTTAGTAAAAGATACAAAGCGCGAGGTTCATTGTAATACAAGATCGTGATCAATTTAAAGTGCACTCCTCTTAGGTCTGCGTCTGCGCATGTAAGGGCATGTTTACACTGTAGAGTTTAATGTTAAGATGAGTCTCAACAATATTATTGTGATTCAATTTAATTTACTGCCCTTATCATGTTGTCCTTGTCCCACTTACGTAGAATTGGCGTACCAGGTTACCGTCCTTCTTATCAATCTATGAACCTTTCAGTCGTCACCTTTACGGAATACATCCATCTCTTCCTAGGCCTACCTCCACCAGTGTATCCCACCACACTCATAGTTTTCCTTCTCCGTAACTAGTACAACACTTCTATCAAAAAGTATTGTTTTTTTTTCGTGGTTAATTTCTTTAAATGTAATTAACCAGAGTACACTAATGTCAAAATGATCACCCTTAACTAGTTGTCGGCCGCGAGTCAACTTAATTAGAAGCCTATGTGTTCTTACAGACTATATTCTAGATCTAGGCATAATTCTACCTGTACGCGTTGAGTCGTTTTGGAGATACCTTCAAACATACATCCATCGATCCATCGAAACGTGTGCATATTTCTATCACATCATTTGTCAAGAAGTGAAATTCGTTTTCCAGTTATTGTGAACACAAGCTTAGTGCAGTCAGTAAAAACGACTTGAGTTACTTAAAGGCTAGCTCGTATCGACACCCTATCAGATGGTCTAACTTGTAAATTAGATCACCGTATTTGCTATCCGTACTGTAAAGGACAAAGTAAGAGTTTTAAACATTTTAAAATGTAAACCAATTTATTGGTACGTTACATTGAACCTTCTTATTGGAGATACTTAATTTAGATAAAGGACAAAGTTCACTTTACTACTTTGGTTTAACAAAAAAAATGTCACCTTATAGCTTATACATTTGAGTTGTACAGAGGGTAGATTAATAAAGTTAATTCATAAGATGTTTTATTTCTATAGTCTCCCAATACTCCAACACTACTAGCTACTGCCCCCGATTCCGTACATAAAAAATAATTAGTAGCATATGTGTTCTTCCAGATTATGTTCTATATCTATGCCAAATTTAACCTATATCCGTAAGGCCGTTCTGGAGATATCTTCTAACAAACATCCATCCATCTAAACTTTGGCATAAATTGCCCATACATGTTTCTTTATACAGTAAATTAAGTTTTTTTTTTTAATTATTTGAGCTAGAAATTAAATGGTTTTCATAATTAATATGTAATTCTTATGATGATAAATATATAAAGACTAGAGTTTGTATCGTATGTACTTTTATTGCAGTCGCATTATTGAACAAGATGTAGAGTTCTAGTAACTTAATAGGCCAGGTATTCTTTCCCTCGAGGCGATCGTAAGACAGACTAAGGTTTTCTCGTTAAGGACGATGCATTTAATTCCATTTTAAAATACTATAGAAATAAATTAACACTGCATGTTCGCAAAATATAACAAGGTAAATTAAACGGAAAGCCTTTTTTTAATATTATATTTATCGAAAAGATATCTTACCAATAATATAAATGCAAATGTTTAGATGGATTGATTGATTGTTTGAAGTTATCTACAGAGCGGAATCTCGATAAAATTAAGCATACATGTAAAACATAGTCTGGAAGAATAGATGGGCTACCTATTATTTTTTTAATTCTGAGCGGCCGGAGTCGCGGGCAACAATTAGTATGTGCATAATTTAAAATACATCATATTTAAATTGATAAAAATCTCGACTAGTGTTTAATACGGTGTCAATAGCAAGAATACAAAGAAATGTTTATGAAATGTATAATATATGAAACAGTAATCTTTTTCTTTTCATTTGAACTCTAGTCTGAGTACGAAACGTAATTAAGATGCTAAATATACTACTGAATAACAACATAAATTATACATCATTGTTTATAGTCTTGGTGTCTTTCATATTAAAAAAAAACTTCTAATTTAGTAGTGCTAACTTAAAAACATTTTTCTTATATAACTCTTAAACTAATTGTAAACGGCTAAATAACACACTCATTCCCGTTGTCGGCACCGACTAGTTAGATACCCCCCATACCCTCGAGGCGCGCCCTAAGAATGCAGGCGCACACAGACGGGCTGAATCCACGAAATAATACCAATCCCACACACCCTCTTGAAGGGTCCCTGATGGGTTCGAAACTAGTCGGTGCCGCCACCGGGCTTTAGTCGTTTATATATTAATTAATTATATGTCTCACGACAGTTTGAATAACTTATATAAATCTGCTGTCTGTACAATAAAATTACCAATCGGAGCCGTTAAATTTACCAAAGAAAGTAATATTAACCATCGCAACTTTGTTGAATGTAAATTTAAATTCTAAATGGTGTGTTTCTATGTTTCTGATGAAGACAGGGTCTCTTATCATCTTGTATGTTTCATTTCTGTCAATATCAAGAGGTCTGGATGGTACGGTCTTCACAAACTGTGGTAACTCTCCATGATGGGTCCGAGTGTAAAAGAATAGTTTCGCGTCAGTCCTTGCGACACACATTGTGTACAATTTCACGCATGTTGCAGATTCAAAACTCATGTCGAAAAACAGTAGCTGGAAGAAAAACTTTAATAAATTATATGACAAAGAATAAAGTAACACTAATGTTACAATAGGTTAGGTTAATATCGGTATTTTTTAAGGGCATATTAGCTGTCGCATTCGGCTCCGTCCGCGGGGATTAAAAATAATAATTAGTAGACTATGTGTTCTTCCAGGCTATGTTCTACATTTGTGCCAAATTTAATCAAAATCCGTTGAGCCGTTCTGGAAATACCTTCAAACAAACATCCATCCATCCGTCTATACATTCGGATTCATAACATTAGTAAGATACATAGTAAGAAGTTCAACAGTGGTAGAGCCCGCTTACTACAGAAGGAACGATATTTAGTAGAAACGAGAAAGCCTGAAGAGACATGAAGTAATAGAAAGGACATTACAAATTTCTTGTTTTCTCTTTTGACCAAATCAATATTTAACATCAGGATTGCAGTACAACGTTTATTACTTTTAAATATAAATATTGAATAACACATTAGTTACTTTACCGCATAAACTCCGACGGCTACTGGGCTCTGTGTCATAAAGATGTCCTCCTCTAAATACATCAAAGTTTTAGTGTCCTCGTCGTAATAGCAGCCCTTTACTATCTGCGTATAGTTTGCATATTCTGAAAAAAATGACATAATAAATATAATACCTAAATAGATACAGAGCCGGTTTTAGCCCTGGCCGAGATCTTTGCGGTGCCAATTTTTTGTTCTGCGGGGAATTTTCTAAAGATAGGCTATCTTAGTTGCGCAATGTGCATCGCCCGGAGCCCTGGGCGATGGATCTAAATCTCGCCCTACCCTAACTATACAAAAGAGAGTTATGCGATAGCAAACATCCATGTATATTAATACTAAATACTTTTTTATATCTTACTAATATTATAAATGCGAATGTTTAGATAGATGGATGTTGGTTTGAAGGTATCTCTGGAACTGAAATTTGGCATAGATGTAGAAATAGTCTGGTAGAACACATAGGCTACTTATTTAGGACTAGTGACAGCTAGTTTATGATAATTGTAAGATTATAAAACTCACTTGCTTCCATAGTTAAAGATTTATCTGTAAGTTTTGAGAAGAACATGTCGATGAATGAATTATAACCCAATACATTGTGTATAGCTTCATGGTAATACTGCGCTCTGCGAGTCGTCTTCCTTACTTCAATGTGATCTTTTATCCATTTTACGTACGGTAAGATTTCTATGTATCTACCAGGCAATGCACATCCTGGTCCAGTTGTGCTCAAGCCGAGCTGTGAAATTTGAAATTTAAAAATCATTAAATAATGATGGAATCAAAAATATTAATGCTGTATGAACTATCCAATTGTTCGTTGGAATTCTACGATCACACAGAAGATAGGCATAGGGTGTAGTCCTCTTCCTCTACCCATTTTTGTTTTATTAAGTAAGGATGGAAAGGAAAGGTGGACTTAAAAGCGGAAGAGATAAGTAGGAAAGTGAAGTATCTATTTGCAAAGTCCCAAGTAGACAACTTAACTTCAATCTTTTCAAGTTACTTCAGGTGTCTATGTGCAGCGGTCCCTGCGCTTTGTATTGAAATTCATGACCGTTTGCTCGTTTGCTGCCTTAAACTATAAGAAAAAAAAATTACCAGTATCCAACCGTCACTGGAATTACTGGCCAGTGCCATTCCGCTGCTCATCACACAAGTGTCACTAGTGTGCATCGCTTTGTAACACATTGTGTGCGGTGGCCATAGATATTCGAAGTTTATCTGAAAATTTAAAAACCAATAAACTGGCCAACTGTATTGGAAAGTCATGCACAAGTTTGACATTTAGGAGAAGAATAAAAATCTAATGTAACATCACTCAATATCGGTCCAATAGTGTCGGCTATATGATGTCACAATGATTAAATAACATAATAACCACAAAGACAAACGCCTGAATTATCATCCTGAATCAAAGGGTAAGAAAAAGGAATCATGTGTCAAAGGCTAGATTACAAGAATCGTTTTCTGGGAGTAAATAAAATATGCATACCTCTTCACTGAAGTAGAATTCTTCACACATCGTCCGACTGACGAAATCAACAGGATATATGTCTTGCTCTAGCCGCATACGTTCTGTACGAAACATTACAATTAGAGTATTGATTCCGAATGATGGATATCGTAGGATCAACAGAAGACACCGCAAAATTTTGCAAGAGTTTCATAAGAAAAAGTTTGGGAGTCTCGCTTACTCTAACTCAATTAGGCTTTTTACACAGTTGAAGCGATTTGCGATAGTTTTTTTTTAAACGTATAACTTACTCTTACTGTCCTTGTATCCAACATTATAGATCTTGATCCATCTGCTTACTTCTTTGTAGTCATTTATCAACCTGATTGGTCTCCCTGAACAAAATACATAAAAAATAAGTGCTTCGATGAAGAACTAAAAGTGTTTTTTTCTTATATACTACTCTTACTTAATACTCTTAGTTAAGAGATCCGGGCTATTCATAACCAATATTCTGCCATATCAGAACAGATTAGTCAATTCCTAGTTCATCATCAATCTGCCCATCCATTGCTGGATCTAATGCTGTCCCCTGTAGTTTGTTCATTACCAAAATACATAAACATTCAAATACAACTTACAAAGGGAGGGTTTCTCGATATTCTCAAAGAATAGTATGACCAATGTGTTAACATAGCCCTGGTCGTACTCCGGGTGTAGAATGCGACCAATGAGACCGCAAAACCACGGGTTACCACCATCATAGAACATGGCGCGAGAATTCGTTCTGAAATATACAGACAAATGATTGTGATATGACTGTTAAAAATTAAATCTATTCTGTGCTGACACGACAACCAAAGAATTTAGTTTTTAAATAGCGTATCGTTCACTACTATACTAAAAGTCTATTTCATCATCTTCAGCTCACTATACGTCCCCACTGAGGGGCTCGGAGCCTACCCTAAGTTAAGGATGATTAGGCCATAGTCAACCACCCTGGCCAAGTGCGGGTTGGTTGACTTCACACATATCTTAAATTACTTCTCAGATATATGCAGGTTGCATCACGATGTTTTCCTTCACCGTAAGAACGTCGGATAAATATACATATGTAAATCGGAAAATCGAAAAACACATTGGTACATGGCGGGATTCGAACCCAGATTGCAAGTCAAGTGCTCGACCAATGAGCCACCGACGCTCCCTATTTGTCCTAAAAGTCTATTTATCTAAATTAAAAGACTCTGAGACTGAAATTGTTACTTACTCCAATGATTCCCAATCAACAGAACCTATTTCCTTTGCGTTTCCAATCGCTATGCGATATTCTATTAATACGATATTCGTTACTTCTTCTATTGAATGATTATCTAAAAATATACAAAAAGTTGATTAAATTTATTTAATTTGTTTTTAGAAAAAGACAAAGGGTATTCGCTCCGAAGTGATTCCATAACGAATCTAAAAAAACTGACGCACGACAATCACGTGACATATCGCAAGTTATTGTCAGTTCTATAAATTCATGAAGCTCGTTATGGAATCGATTTGGAGCGAATGTACTTTGTCTAACCCCGCAGTTCTGTATAAATCATACATTTTCTCTATCTGTGCGCAAATCTGTGTTTGTTTCGGGTAATTTTTGAAACGTCTAAAACGATTATGACGGGAATTTTCTGAAAGGTAACTCATGTATGCAGTAATGTTAAAAAATATCTTATATATGAAATTCTCGTGTCACGATATTAGTTACAATAGTCCTCTTAAACGGCTTGACTGATTTTTATAAAAATTTTAAATACATATTCAGTAGGTTTAAGAATCGGCTACTATCTATATTTTAATGCTACACGAACGGAGTCGCGGGCTACAGATAGTAAACATAAAAATTACCTGGTTTGTAAATCAGAGCTCCCATCCAAGGCATTATTGGAACCTTTTTGATTTTTAGTCTCACGCAGTAAATAACAAAGGAGCCTGAAAAAATAAATAAATTAAAGAGTTTAAAACAATACAAGTATTTTAGTAACTTTAATTTATTAACTTACAGAAGAAAATAACAATTAATGTAACAATTGATTTCATCTTTTTTTAAATTAATTCGTCATTTCTATTCAATAGCAACACTTGAACTATCAAATCCAAGGCATTAACAGTTTACAAGTAAACGCGTGCCGAACAATAATTGTTTCTAATAACGAAAGCTAATGTTTTACGAAATATAAGTAATGTTTAAAAAACCTTATTACAATATTTTACATTCGACGTACGCGATACTGCGGTAAAGTAATTTGATGACACATTGTTTCCGAAACAAATAAAATGATCATAGTTAATTTTGATGCAAGTTGTACAATGTTATTCAAACTTTATAGCGGTTCAGAATTTTGTACTAAACGCTACGTAGAAAATAGTATTAGGTATAGGAATGTGAAGGGCTGTCAGGCGCTACTGTTATACATTTTACTAACAGACGTGAATTTTCACCGAAGGTATCAATCTTTTTGGGGATTTAAAGGTTAGCTGCACTGTTCGCTTCCGCCTGCATCTCTTTGTCTAAAATTAAGATGCGATGCGTAATGCGATGTCCCAAGCCGCCAACATTTTTGTGTGTGACAATACGTGCTATTAGGGACAAAATAGCAGATGTATATTCTTTGGCACGGAGGTGAAGCCGGTCAGGTCGCTAGTCTACAACCGCAAAACATCTAGCGCGTAAAGTGCACAAATACTTGAGTGTTATTTTAATTTTCAAACGTGTCAGACCAGTCTGACTTGTTACAGAACGGTAATTAACTCCAGGTGAAAATAAAATGAAAAAAAAAATAATACGTTGGGACAATTGTCGGTAAATCATTACTTCATTCACTTGCACGGAGGCGTTTCATTATTTTTTGTACATCTTTCTCGGTACAGTTGACAAAAAAGTTAAGGTACACTTTCTGTGTATATGACAAAATTAACTGCAATAAGAACTAGGCTTTTGTTGGCTCTAAATTTCTTATGTTACATCTGATATTCGAATTGTCCCAACTCAAAATATTCATATGTTGGGACAAAGTGTCGTCTAACGCTGGTCCAGCACGAAGGTATTCGTTTACGCGTCACGGGGATAGGAGCAGTTACGGAACACTTGCCCATAACCATGAAGCTACCCTTTATGTTGACTGTACATCGCGCTATATGACAGTTTCAAGATGAACAGTAATGTAATATGGCTAGCGGAGAGGTGCCTCGATCCATTCACCAACCCGTATGAACTGCAACATTGACTCTAGTCAAATCTATGTCCATCCAACGCATCGTACCAATGACATTCTTTTATTTAATAAATTGAGCTTTAATTTAATTTGAACCTTGACACTATTGACACTTCCTGCATATACCTCCACCACTCTTTATTTTTACTATGAAAGACTCAAAAATTAAGTTAAATAACCAAATTATACTTGAATTTGCCACTTTAATAGAGCTATTATTTTTTAATTAGAATTTCGATTTTTATTTGATAACAAAATATTATATTTAAAATTACTTTAAATATGAATAGCAAGTGATACATCGTTAGAAATATATCTAGGAAGAGATGGTTGGAGATCCGATCCACATAGAGTAGGACGAAGAACACAAATAAATTGTTTTTTGTCAACCGTACACGTTTAGTTCCCACAGGTCTCGTCAACAGTGTAGGTGCAAGTCGCATGCAATCAGCAAGCAGGCCGTCCAAGATGGCTGCCGTTTTAATTATTATGGACAGAGCTGACATGAAAACCAGAAGCTTGAGTCTTTGGAAAAATGATAGTCATAGACAAGATTTAAATATACATAGGTTTTTTTATTCAATGACAATGTGGTTTTCTATATAAGGAGACGACACAAAACCTTAATTATAGCATTTTATTAGTTCTAAATTTAGGAATCGTATTCCATACGATTATTCTTTAAGTCGAATTTATAACCACTAAACTATTATTGGTCTAATCTTAACCTTGTATTAAGATTGTCCAATTTAAAAAGACCTGCGTATTTACAAATCAAATACAAATTCTCCAACATAGATGGTAAAATGAGCTGAAATCAGATGTCTTAATAAACTGGTGTATCAACGCTGAATAGAGATATGTCTTATCAGATTATCAATCTAATACTCGAGATTATTTTAAGCAATTTTATATTTTACTGCGTTGTATTAAGGTTTAAATTTATTTGAAACAAACTCTGGAAGATTACGACCATATACTAACTGATGAACTAATCTTATAGAGTTGAATATTGTTTTAAAATCTTTATTAAATTATATTTTCAACTTTATTCAATTGTTTTAAGGTGTATAATTGAACTGAATTTATATAAATGATAAAATATCTTAGAACCAATCACTTATGTTTTGATCTGAGAGTTTAGTATTAAAAATTTCAGTTTCTCTTTATATATTTTTATTAGTGTTTGTTTTTACTATGAATGAGTTGTTATTTAGTTTAAAAGAGATGTGTTTCTTGTTATTTATATTTATAACACTAGTGTTAGTGATGATGTATCTTCATATTTGTGATGTGATGATTGGCAGATATGTGTTCAGAATCTTTAGTAAGTACATTTATATTAGCGATCTGTAGAAATGAATACATTCGACGTTCTTACGGTGAAGGAAAACACGATGACACTGCACATATCTGCGAAGGATCACTGAAGATATGTATAGTGTCATCGTCGCGAAGTGAACCTGCACTGAGCCAGCATGGTTGACTATGGCATAGTCACCCCTTACTTGGAGTTGGCTCGGAGCCTCTCAGTGTGGACGTATAATGATGATGATGATGAAACTAAGTAGGCAAATATCTATCTTATTTTTACTTCTGAGTCATATTATAAATGAGAATGTTTCTATGTATGGATGGATGGATATTTGTAAGATGGTATATCCAAAACGGCTCAATGGATCTCGCTAATATTACAAACTGATTTTAACTACTAGAGTATATATATCTCCTTGATCACTTCAGAGGAAATTGTGTTGATAGCGTAAAAACAATTACGAAACATGTCATTTATTAAGACTAGAAATAAAGTATTTTTAAATGGATATAATAGAGACATGGATATATTTCCACGTATCCATGTATCCACGTTGTGTTGGCGACTAAAAAATCCCATTATTAATATGAGTCAGACAATTATAACATTTTCGTTCCATACACTGGAAAATAACGCCTGATTCATTTAATTGTCACACATAATTGTTAATAAACTTATATTAACTTATTAAATGGTAATTACAATAGAATTATTATCCATCTCAGCTTTACTGTGACTTAGATTAAATTATAATAGCAAGAAGTGTAAAAAAAAGTTTAGTTTTTTTTTATAGGAAAAGGTGGCAAAGATAATGCGGCTATTTGGCTTCACCAAAATCAAAATTATCGTTACTTACAGACAGTCACTTTTATAGATACGCTGTCTACCAGTAATCAACACCGGCGGGGTTACATAAAAATATGATGTTTAAACTTACTATTCGTCCCCAACTCTGCCAAATCCTGCCTTTCCTTATGTTATAAGAAAGGGGGAGTAGGGGATGATGGCTATAAGTTAGTTCTCCGGCAAAGCGGTATTGTTTCAATTTCACGCATGTCTTCTGTGAGGTCGTAGTATTACTAGTAGAATCGGCCTATTTGTACAAAATATATTAATGTGACCTCTACACAGTCTTACTTACATGAATAGTTTAATTGAAAAATCATTATCCTGTACTTATCCTGTTCACGTAGGGTCTTCGCACCGGTTTTTATCCTCCTTCCTTATTGATCCATCTCTAGGCTGGAAACAAAAAAATACATAAAATTTAACAGTGGTAGAGCCTGCTTTAAAATCTTCGCAAGAATTGTCCCAGCTCGCCCGGTGAAATACCACGACCACACAGAAGACAGGCGTCAAGTGGAAGCAATTCCGCGTTTCGTCTGATAAGTGTGAGTCCCGGAGGCCTAATTTAGTCCTCTTTCCCTTCCTACCCTTTTTCTTATAAGGAAAGGATTGGAAGTGGAAGTGGACTTTCCGGATGAGAGGATGCATGGAAAGGTAATATATTTTCTTTCTGTGCATCCTCTCCTCCGTCGATTAAATGTAGGCAACGGATATGCAATTGAGTATGTCTAGGGGCAACGGTCACTTCGTTATTTCAGCGATTTCAGGAGACCTTTCGCTCGTTTGCCACATAATGATAAAAAAAAAAAAACGTATATCATGTTATGTAGTTATAGATTTAAAAGTATCAAAAATGTTATGTTAGCGTTGGTATAATTAAAAAATGATTAATGTTTAGTAATGTCCGATTTAGAAAATCGACCGTGAGTAGGTTCGAAGCAA